TAGTATTTAATAGGTTGTAACAGACTTAAAACCTTCCCAGAAAACTTCAAAATGTGGCCATTGACACTTGGAAGTTTATTCTCTACAACACGACATTTAAAGTTGTCAAATTATATACACAATTAAGTATTAAAACTTACACGAACTCAAACATCAGAAAACAATTTCTGCGTTTTGAATAATTGCCAACTGACACGCAAACATCCTTCTATATAAACTAAATATTGATAATATTATTCGTGCGTTACACACGAATAAAACGTAAACAAGGAAAACAAATAAATACAACTGAATCGTGTAATTTATTTATTTGATACCATCAAATAAATAAATTGAAATTCGTAAATAGTAAACTGATGGTGACTTTCACGATTCAATTACATTATAAACTTTATAAGCTTGATCTTATCCTTTTAAATCATTTCTTGAACACGTGCTAGTATACATGAAACAAGAATTATTTATAGTTACATCGCCTCAATTCAGAATTGCAATTTTCGTTAATAATTTTAATAACTTTTTAGTTTGTAATATATGCTCTCCGCCGCCTCAAATTAGAAGAGTTTTGCCCCTGTACATTATACTTTTTTGTTAGCAATAGTGTCGTGCCGGTACATCTGTCTAATATATTATTTAAATGTGTGAAGCTGTTGTAACACAGAGTCACTGAGAATAATGTAAGGGCATACAAAGTTACACGCGATATAATTAGCTCAAGAAGCAATTAATTAACCGTTAGTTCAGTTACAGAAATGGTTCTTAAACTTTTCCATTGGACACAGCACTTCAAATTTTACAATGTCCTCTCGCACGCTTATGAAAAAACAGTCACAAATTTTTATTTGAAAAAGTACTATTGTATTGGATGTTTGTTAGCGATTAAGGTAAAAAAATCCAGTTTGTGCCAATACAACAATATATAAAACAATAAATTCGCATTTTAGGTTAAGAAAAAATTTCATAGAATTATGACTAAAAATTTAATATTTATACATTTATTCTTCTAAATGAGTTCAGTTTTTAATGACAAATGTGAAAAGTACTAAGGTACTAGGTTACAGTTTCACCAAACAATGTTCTGTTTATCTATTATAAAATATAATTTTTGATATTTATTACTTATCGATATTCGCTTATTTATTTGTATTATACACATAAATAAACTTTAGGGAGAGTTACCAACTAGCCCAACATCAAATTTCCATTGAATTTTATTAGGCATTTATCATAAAAATTATGCATAAACATCAAACAAATAAATTATCGAATATGCAAATAGAAGTAAATTTAAAATATTAAAAAATACAGAGTAAACCAAATATTAAATACAACAATAATAATAACAGCGGAGAAACATACAAGATGAAACTGGTCAAATTTCTACTGTTATGTTCTTTTCCTATTGTCTGGACCGAAAGTAAGTAAATTGTTTATTAAAAAGCAGTTTAAGCAAAAAAAATATTAAAAGTGTCTGGTAAATTGTAAGTTGAGCATTTGTTATCATTTAATTTAATCTCTATATATGTCATTCAATATATAATATAACTGTGAAGAACTATAACAATTACTCCTTTAGATAATATTATTTAAAATATGTAGTGCAATTTCCAATATAGTTTATAGATAAATATACATACTTTGTCGAATTTTCTCATTAAACAATTTAATAATTATATGGAGAGTGGATAGACGTTAATTGATGGGGTCCAATAGGACCTTTAGCACTAAAAGGCCTGGAAAAAAAATTTATAATTGAATAAGGAAATAATTGTCATATTTTGTGTAGAATACACAATATGAAGTTAGACATTTTGAGTAAATTGTAGATTTTGAGTAGTTTAATATTTTTTGGGTTCTCAATGGTTTCCATTTGACATCCATTAGCTAAAAAAAGATCTTTATAAAAGATATTTACTATTTTGTAGTTTTCTTCGGTTATTTTAATTCAAAAACTGGCTTCTGGTATATAAATAATTATGAATGAAAACAAATAACTTTATTAAAAACACTAATAGTAATTTTTTTCTTTTTTATATACCAAAATGATTACATTAGGTACCTTAAATAGTAAATATAAGGTAAATTTTTTCACGAATAACTTCTGAATTCTTCGTTTAATTTCGAATCTGTTTAAATCTTTGGATTCAGAATAAAAAAAATCATTAAAATGTTTTGTCAAAAATCGTATAATTATTTAACATTTCTAATTTGACATTGCATGAAAAATAACATCGTTTTTCTTCATTTTAGAATCCATAGACACAAGACCTGTTTGGAAGATTGCAGTATCATACGTAAGTAATTTGTCGTGAAAAATAATTTTACGTATTTTAAAAAGGATAAAGTTGGAGTTATTTGGATTATTTAAAAATTAAGTTTTCTGTACGGGCAGGGAGTATTTTTATATCGTGTTTACTTACTTTCACTGAAAAGCCTATGATTATAAGTAATAAGTCACGAAGTTTGGGTGTTGAGTATTAAAGAAATTGACTGTTATATTTGATGGCAGTTAAAAGGTCGTCGGGGTGAGAAGATAAAGGGATGTCGTATGTCGTATCTGAAAGTGAGTAGAAGTTTATGAAGATTTCTCTCGTTATTACAATTTGCAATTTTTTAAAAGTTATTTCTACTTTCGAAATTAGCGAAATTTCTTTTGCTTTTTGTAGTAGTAAAATACGAGAAATAGATTTTTGGTTAGTTCTGAAATGTTTTAGACAGTAAGACTTATAATGTACTCAAGTAATAGTACGCTGCGATTATTCCGGAACGAAGCACACTTGTTTAAGCAATTTCTATGTGAACGTCGAACAGCCGATGACAAAGAATAAATCTGTTGTTGCGTCAGACTTTTCTACAATACTTATTCGTAATGGCGGCCGCTCTGGGCAATCCACTTGTGTACTAGATGGTTTTACTACTTAATTCTTTGTTGACCGGGGTATCTCAATATAGATATTCTAAATTTATGACAGTTCACCAGGGTATCTATTCATAGATACCCTGTAAAAAGTCGATTTTTTTTAAAATTTTTTGACAACAGATGTCAGCATTTGACGATAACGTTTTCTATATCGTCTGTTTTACATATTTCCGTCCAGGTGGCTTTTGCTTACTTAAAAAGTTTTATTTAGTGATTTTTTTCATTTCCATATTTTTTGATAATTTTTTTATTTTATTTTCAGCATGTTCATGCAATAATCTTACTATAATAAGTTTATTTATTTATAACTAGCTGCAAGGACCCGCTTCGCTGGGTTTTTATTTATTCGTACATTTGTATGTAATATAGTTATTTATATATATATAAAAGACTGTTTTTCTAAGTAATCTAGAATCTAGCTGCAAGGATTCGTTTCGCTGAGCAAAAAGTAACGATAGTGAAGATTAAGATAATTACATTATAGCCAATCTTACCCATTTTCACAGAATGCAAGAATTAGGTTTTCCGTTTCCAGACTAATTTGAGAATTTTTACGTTTTGTCAAACGAACTATTTTCAACGTTTCTGGAACGTTTACAATCGTTCTATAATTGAACCAATATTCGAATTTTATGTTCGAATTTAAATCCAACAAATTCGAATAAATTCGAACAAAAAATTCGAAATAGAAAGCCACTTTCACCCACTTTCAGCCTCATATCTCCCGCACCCTTATAGCTATCGAGACGCAACCACCCCTATTCACGAATGGAGACTTGGGGCTACTACCACATACAAACACCATTCATGTGTAGTTTTTGCGGAAAAGTAAAATATAGGGACATACACGTCCATTTATATATATATATATATATATAGAGAGAGAGAAGTGAACATATTATAACTATTTAAATTGTTATCCTCATTTCTGGCATTTTATATATTTTTTTATTTTTTGTTTTTCAATTTAATTTAAAATATTAGCAATGTCAAGTGTATTACTACTGGTAATAATATGTTTATTACAAAAATTTATATTTTTGTTCGAGATAGAGTAAACATGGTATTTTAGTTTTTTATGTCACTTGATAGCAGAATGAAGTTCTGATTTCAAAGAAAGAATTCATATAATCTGTGATATTTTTAGAACAAAAATGATACATTGATAAATATTATGTCGAATCGTACAGAACAATATTTTAGATCGTTCTGGCTTAGTGCCAAGAACGAACTACAAAACTGGAGAATGTTAATTTTAACAGAATGTTACAAATTTTCACAGTTAGATGTCAGTTTTGATATATAATAATTTTTTGTTCGAATTTTTTTTATTTAAATGTATTTAAAAATATCTTATTTAAAACTACAGATATTAGTAAATGTAACTTGATTTTTTTTCATATAAATATAACAATAACTTGATCTTTGGTGAATTTTTAAATTTATATTATATGACTGACCTTCAATGACCTATATAACTCTCGGTCGTTTTACAACCTAAACGAAAACAAGGGGGTGGGACAACTGGTCAACTAAGAGACTACTTAAAAATAAAAAAAAAGCTCCACTATTCTTTACGTAGATTGCGTACAGTACATGTAGTTCAATTTAGAGTTTAGAACGTTAGAGTTATAAATTGTCGTCATTCTCTATTAGAAAGAGCACCCTTAAGGCACAGACCTGTTTAAAATGACAAAATGTTTTTTTCCGTAAAAGTAAATGTTTTAGAAACTGATATCTGCTAAACAGCATCCGAATGGCTATAGGAAACGTGTGTAATTCCACAGAAAAGGTGTATTTAAACATATACAAAATTTTTACGACATAAAGAATGACGTATTTAAGAATACAGCAGTGAGAGGCCGGACTTGACAGGAAAATTTTATTCAAAAATTTTGTTCGAAAAAAGATCGCTACGCATATGATCATATATTTTTTCTCACGGACTTGCTTCCTGTTTGGGGTGACACATCGAACGTGCCACTAGAAATCAAATGCAAAAATAGCCATTGGAAGTGAAGGACGATTTTACCAAAAAAAAAACAAGAGTTGTGAAAGGGAGGAACCCAAATAAAAAAGAAGTTCCGATGACGCTACGGTAAGTTCGCCGAAAAGAAGAGAGTTCGTCTGTCCTCGAAGGTTGGTAGTATGTGTACACTCGGATACACTTCGACGCCAATGCTTTTCCAATAGCCAGTAAGTAGAAATTTAATCGGCGATAGCCGATGACTCCATGTACTCATCAATGACCTGTCTCCACCAGAAAAAACCCCAAATCAAGGGAGCGATCTTTAGGTAAATACCACGCACGAACATTTGTAAACTCTCTCTCGCTTAAGCATATGTGTAACTAATTTATATAATCAATAAACGGGAATTATTTTTTGTAATCGAATTGTAAAGTGCACTTTTTTTAGCCCAATTGGTCTCCATCCGCAGTCCTACCGCGCGTAAATGCGAACGTAACGGACTCTGTGTCTACCCAGAAGACACAGTGACGTCAGTCCTGACGAATTTGTCATTGCAGTCTTCGCCGACACGATGTCGATACTTTAGTTTCGTGGTGCCAAAGCATAGGGGGAGTCTTAGGCATTGTCACACAGCATACGTACGTCGAGACTATCTGTAAGCAAAGCGATGGAATTAACAAAGGGTTTTTGTGGTATATCTGGATTAATTGTATTATTTAACTTCCGAGGTCAACAATAACATACAAACAACAAAAGTTATCGGTACTCAGCGATACTTTGTTCAAAAGCCTCGCACGGCTTCCCTACTTAAAACAAAACTATCGAATTAAAACCTGTGACAAATTCATAGGGTTTTGACAATAATGACATAATTAATAGATTTATTAATATAGGCCTAATTTAAATGTACAGTACGTTCTAAATAGGTCTAATTGATGTATATAAAAAGAAAGCAATTAAGTAAGTAAAAATTTCGCTTTAAAATATTTTAATAAATGGTTTTGTTTTTACGTACCTATTACTATAATTTATCAATTCCCGTAAATTTATAATAATATATAAATAATATTATTTTATATATCTGAATCGTTATTTTTTTGCAGACTAAATTGGCAATGAATTTGAGTTGTGAAGAGCATTACTTCAGTAATTCCAAACAAAACTCGGAAATTTTTTATAAGGCCCTGAAATTTAGGTAAAATTTTTTATAAAAAACCTTAGGCGTTCATCTATTATTAAATTTATTAATTATAATTAAATTTAATAAAAGATGGGGCGTAATGCCTTCCTCTAGAGACAAATTATTTAGTAATTAAATCTAAAATTGCGAAGTGTTTCTTTCATTGTACAATTCTTCGTTATATTGATCACGAAACACAATTGTACTTTTTATTTTTTGTTATTACAGTAAAATATCGATTTAACACTCGTCTATTTGACGAACAATGGATTTCACTGACAAAATGTTCGTATGTCATACGTGAAAATTAACACCCCATTTAACTTTAAATGCATTCTATACGAACTTTAATTAAATTAACGGGCTACTTTTCTTTTCTCACATCCAAGAATCACAACTGTTAGGTTTACGTCAGAACACCAGTGTCTCTATATACCGTGATCCCAAGACAAATAAATAAAAATATTTTTGTGTCTATGTAAAATTTAAATTTTTATAAGGACATTATGCATTTGTTTGGTTTAATACAATTAAAGCGTATCACCCAAACGATATTTTTTAATTAAAAAAACAATTTTTTAAAAAACATAAAAATTAAAACACTTCAAAGGTTAAGACAGAAGATGACCGTTGTTTTTTTAAACTATAACTGCATTTTATCATAGAGAAAACTACTAACGTTTACGTTTCAATGCATTTCGGGTGCAAATTTTGTTTCACTCTCACCCCTATTCGGGTAATACATAACTAAATTAGGGAAAACATACAGATGTAACAAAAATATTGCAAAAATTACAACATTCAAATGATTTACATTATAACAAACTGACCTCTTTCGCTGAGAAATTTATCGATATCCTACCCGCGAGGCATCGTTTAAACAGCCTTTTGTCCGTTTTCGCGCTATTTTACTTTCACTACATTCGCCCACACGTCATCTATCTCCATCCCATTATTTAGATTAATGGTGCTATGTGCACTTACAATCGCGAAATGTTTCTTGAACGTTCGTAAACACTTATCTTTTCATTTGTGAATTATTTCTACATTATTACACATTCGTATTTATTGCAATGAGTTGTCCATGGTGATTGGTTATTTTCAGGCTCTTTTATCCTAGTTTTGAGTTGCCTTCCTGTTTCACCTATGTAAATTGTTGGTTTATTACATGTACCTTTTAGCTTATATACAACACCTATTTCGTCTAGTATTTTTTTATTTTTAGATTTATTAATATTAATATTATTTTTTAGTTTGGCTGCTAGTACTACACTATATTTTTTGAAAACATTTCTATATTTTTCGCACATACTTTTAATGTAAGGGAAAGACGTATATATATTATCATCTTTTTTATTTTTATTATTAAATCTGTGTTTTATAAATTCTGTCATCTATTTTTTAATAATCTACTGGGATAATTGTTTAATATAAACGTATTTATTAATCCACTTTGTTGTTTTTCTCTATATTCTGCTTTACATGTTCTGCTCTTTATCTTAGATAATGCTGTTACAAAATTTTTTCTTTTAATTGTTATAGGACAATACGATTCATAGTTTAGATTTTTATTTACGTTGCAGCTTTTTTATATAGTTTTATATTAAGTACATTTTGTCCGCGGTTTATAGTTACGTATAGATAATTAATTTAGTTTTTAGTTTTTGTTTAACTTTCATATTTTAAAGTATTGTTTAACGTATTTGCTAATTCTTTATTTATTTCAATCATGCATATTTCTGCATGTTTTGGGGCAAATTACTGTGCCCATTCTAATAATATTTTTTTTTTTTGGCTATATATTTTCTCATCGATATGAAGTAATTAATCACAAAACTATATTTCATTAACTTTAGTAACCAGTCACGTATGTCTCGATTAAGTAGACGTTTTTTCAATAAGTTCCTACTTTACCGATGGATACATAGCTACTATGAACAAGCTTAATAACCAATAGATTGACTTTATCTTTATTTGCATTTTTCTTAATAACTCATCAGTGTTTTTTATTAAATAATTTGAACAGGGGACTATTTTTAATTTATTTTTAATAAATAATTTTAAATTAGGTAATATTGTATGTTTAAAATCCACTAATGGTCTGCATATATCACCCGCTTTGTGTGTTTTTAGTGTAATTTTAAGGTGTAGTTTTCTGATGTCATTAGAGTTGAGGATTTGTTTCTTCTCTCTTGATGTAACTGTTTTCTGTTTATATAATCATCTGATCTCTTATTTATCCATGTATTTTATCCATTGTATTTCTTCTCTTGGATCTACGATTAGTTTTATAAAATCATCTGTTAACACAAGTTCAGACTATTTTTTTCCATTCTTCAATAACAATTGGTCTGTGTTATCTGCTTCGATTAGATTGAAATTATTTTTCTTTAGATATTTTTTCAATATTATACACTTTTTTGAATAATCTCCTTTTCTGTTCACATTATCTTATCTTTTTAAATGTCATCTTTTATTTAGTGTTTTAAATTTCTTCTATCCCCTTGTTTTATTTGATTTACTGCTTTATCAATTTCGGAAATTACATTAATTTCATCGCAACAAATACGGATGTGTAATTAATAGTAATAATGTAAAAATAATTCACAAAGAAAAAGATAAGTATTTACGAAAGTTCAAGAAACATTTAGCGATTGAAAGTGCACATAGCACCATTAATCTAAATAATGGGATGGAGACAGATGACGTGTGAACGGATTTGGTCAGGGTAAAATAGCGCGAAAACGGACAAAACACTGTTAGAACGATGCCTCGAGGTAGGATATCGATAAAGTAGAGCGCTGTACTTTTCAACAAAAGAGGTCAGTTCGTTATAATGTAAATCGTTTGAATATTGTAATTTTTGCAATACTTTTGTAACATCTGTACGTTTTCCCTAATTTAGTTATGTATTACAGAAGAGGGGTGCGAGTAAAACAAAATTTGCACCCGAAATGCATCGTAATGTAATAAAGGCTAACGTTTGTAAACCTTAGTAGTTTTTTCTCTGATAAAATGCAGTTATAGTTTAAAAAAAACAACGGTTATTTTCTGTCTGAACCTTTGAAGTGTTTTAATTTTTGAAGAAGTTTCTTAAAAATTATTTTTTTTTTCAGGGCTGTGGAGTGTAGGGTTTCTCATTTCCCGGTCTTTTGCTTGTCCCGGGATCCCGGGATAAAAGTGAACTGTTTCCCGGGATCCCGGGAAATCCCGGGATAGAATTAATTATTTTTAAGGTATACAAAATATCTTGAAATCAAATGATATAATTATTTTCCATTTTTTAAAGTAATTTTAAAGTTTTGTAACCTCCAAAATCATATTAATAATGCTGTGTTAGGTCTATAGGCCTATAATAAAAATTACCTTTAAATAACGTAGAAATTTTCACAAATAGAAAAAAATTAATTAAAGTTTGCTGGAAACTGCATACAACAACAAAAAAAAAAATGTTTTGAATTGAGTTAAAAATTAAAAAAATGAACTTCTAATTTAGAAGGTAATTTTCGTTTTTTAAATAAAATATAATACAAAATATTGCAAACTTTTATAAGATTTTAAAAAGCAAAGATGGTCAATACTCCGATAACTCACTCTAATTCTTATTTTAGTAATGAAAAGTCTTGCCACCGAGAATGCCCTTTCCGATTCAATTGATGTGATTGGAATAGTGTTTAATGCATTTAAGAGAAGACAGATATTATGTGTTTTTTCACCTGTAGCCTGGAAGCTTTCGAGTTCGTTTTCGAGATTGTAGTACTTCTTTCGCTCTCTAGTATTCTTGATTTGTCTACCTTGGCTGCTTTAATAGCGGCATCAAGCTTAGAGCTCGATAATTCGGCAATTCATTTGGCTTTAATAATCAGGTTTATGAAGAAAAACTTCATACTTGCAGACTTTGTACTCGTTTGTATCCTTGCCCAATTTGCACAATCTGGCGTCAGGCATTTATTGAAGCTACTGGGCATGGTTAAAACTCAAGACAGCGTAAGCACAATTATTCCAGATATTACAGGTTCCGACAAGTAAAGAATTTTTATAGTCCTGCCACAAATAAGCTATATATTGATTATTGACCATTTGTGACATGCTATAACGAGCAAAAATTTAAAAAAACTAATAGGTAGGTTTAAAATTAATAAATACAAATGTATTCTGACAGTGAATGAGTTAATTATGCTTTCTATTTGCAAAATTCCTCAACCTTAACACAAAATAAGAAAAAAAGTGAATTTTTAAGAAATTTGCGGGATTTTCCGGGATATTTCCCGAGTTAAAAAAACAACCGGGATCCCGGGATCCCGTTTGAGAAACCCTAGTGGAGTGGGAGTCGTGGAGTTTTGATGGTTTAGCCGGAGTAGTCAAAAAATCCGCCTACTCCGACTCTTTTTTACTTACCAACTTATGTATATAAAACGGAAAAGTATTGGAATCGTGTCAAATTTGACTCTCCAAGTTTAGTTTTTTGCAAATCTATACGTTTGGAGACTTTCCGAACCCCCAAAAAAGTCAATAAAGGGGAAAAATTCGCTCGCGCGTGTGTGTTATCGTCTAATTTGTTTAATTTCTTTATTTTCTGTTTTGAGATATTAAACAATATCTCGGAATGGGTAAAGTTTAAGAAACGAAATGTGGCACTGTAGCTCGCGTATAAAGGGGCATTAATACTATTAAATTTTGGTACTTAATTAAAGCTCGACAGGGTGAAGACATAAAAGGGGTCACGTGTCATATCTCTTAATGAATATTTTACAAATATTTTACTCGTTATTAGCGTTCAAAATTTAAAAAAATAAAACAAAACTTGTCTTTACCCTCAAAGTAAGCTTTTTTTGCCATTTTATAATACTACAGTAAAACCCGTTAAGATGTTCTCGCTTAAGTTGTTAGAATGTAGGCGTATATGGGGACACGATTTAGTTTAACCACTTTGACTTAAATATAACTAACTCCTGTGTTAAACCATCTGACTCTGATTCTGACCACTCTTACCACAGAAATTATTAGGCTTCAAACAAAGTGAACTAAATCGTGCCCCCCACACAGTCTAACATCCACGCATATAGAAAAAAACCTCGAATCTTTTGCATAGCTCAAAATTTCAAGGTGTCCCGAGTCCAAACGTAAAAATTTGGGAGGGGTCATTTTTTCACCGAGCGCTACACTTTTCCTCTGTTATATATAACAGAGAAAAAGTAAAAATTATCAAATACATATTTATGTATTACTTAAAAATAGTTCGTTTGATTCTCAACAATTCTCAAATTTTGATCATTCTCAGCGGTAGGTCTTATGTAACAACTAGATGAAAGGACCCGCTTCGCTGGTTTCTATTTGTATATAATATAGTTTTTTATATATATAAAAGACTGTTTTTCTAAATAATCTAAAATCTAGCTGCAAGGACACGCTTCGCTGGGAAAAAGTAACGATAGTTAAAATTAAAATAATTACATTATATCCAATCTTTCCCGTTTTTACAGAATGCAAGAATTAGGTCTTTTGATTCCAGACAAAACGTCTCCTGTTCACGACCAGTCAAAAGAACTATTTTCAATTTGATCAATTTTCTGGAACGTTTACAATCGTTCTATAATCGAACAAATTCGAATTTAGAACGGTTCGAACATTTTTAAAATAAAATCGAAATAGAAAATCTTTGAAGTCAACTACTTTAATTAACCCTCCATATCTTCCGCACCCTTATAGCTATCGAGACGCAACCATTATAGTGCACGAATGGAGACTTGGGGCTACTACCACATACAAACACCATTCACGTGCGATGTGTAGTTTTGGCTGAAAAGTGAAATATAGGGACACACACGTCCATTTGTATAAATCTATATCTATATATAGATATAGATATAGATATATATAAATATAGATATAAATATAGACATAGATATATATATAGAAATGGACGTGTGTGTCCCTATACAGTATTTCACTTTTCAGCCAAAAATCGCACATGAATGGTGTTTGTATGTAGTAGTAGCCCTGAGTTTCCATTCGTGCACTATAATGGTTGCGTCTCGATCGCTATAAGGGTGCGGGAGATATGGGCTTGAAAGTGGAAGATTTTTTATTTCGATTTTAAAAATTTTCGAACCGTTTTAGAACGATTCGATTTTAGAAATTTCCGAACCGATTATAGAACGATTGTAAACGTTCCAGAAAATTGATCAAATTGAAAATAGTTCGTTTGACTGGACGTAAAAAATTTTCTAATTAGTCTGGAAACGGGGGACCTAAATCTCACATTCTGTGAAAATGGGTAAGATTGACTATAATGTAATTGTCTTAATCTTAACTATCGTTACTTTTTGCTCACAAATAAAAACCCAGCGAAGCGCGTCCTTGCAGCTAGATTTTAGATTACTTAGAAAAACAGTCTTTTATAAATATAAAAAAACTATATTACATACAAATGTACGAACAAATAAAAACACAGCGAAGCGTGTTCTCGCAGCTAGTATATATATATATATAGATTACTATGGTTGTTGAAATACTGAATATAAATGGGGTTTGCTTGCAAAACCTTTGCCGACGAAGTCGCTGGTAACAGCTAGTAAATAAATATTAGTGATTAGCCCCATTTATATTTAGTATTTCAACAACTATAGTAATTGTTATATAACACCTACCGCTGAGAATAATCAGAAGTTGAGAATTGCCGAGAATCAGACGAACTGTTTTCAATTTGATCAATTTTCTGTAACGTTTACAATCGTTCTATAATGAAATCGATACGCAATAACAAATCCAAATTTAAAACGGTTCGAACATTTGGTTAATATTCGATTACTATTCGGTATTTGGCCTATTTGGCCTATTTTTCGCTATTCGCCGAATACCGAATGCCTAAAAACAGGACTGAGAAATAACAAAAACACAGTAAATTAATCAATTTGGTATTTAGATTTAACGTTATCGGGTCAGTGTTGTTTGTGTTTTATTTATTTATAACTTATAACATGCACAAAATAAAAAAAATAATATTAGTCACATGTAATCACAATTTATAATTACAAAGATCAACACACGTACAGTACACACCTATTCGTTCGAGAATCGTGGCACATCCGAAGGTCTGACCACGCCTATCCTTCATTTTAAGCGCTCGTCTTTGCTATTCCCTTTCTTTTTCCTCTATCTCTCTAGTCCACGTATGCCTACGCATATATCATAATACGCGCTCACGATACTTTCGATTCGCAACTTTTTCGTCGTAGATTTCCCATTTTACGATTACGTGACTCATAGTGTGGTGATAATGGAGAAAAGAAACAGATAGCACTCGGTATAAGTCATAGTTTGATTTCACAGATTCGAGACAGCTTGCTAGCCCGAACGGCCCCATGGTTTCTCCTGCCCATGCACGCTAAGTGACTTTCATTAGAAGCATTTAGCTTTCCGAAGTCTATCAAAACAATTGCTTGGCATTAATGGCCGCGAATTTCGCGCCAATAAGCTGCTTCGACTCGTTCGATTATGTTATCGACTCAATTTCATATTTATTTTCACATTTTTACTTCGCAGTCTTCTGTTTTTTTCCGTTATTTACACGTGCAAGTCATTTCATTGTTATCCACATTTGATATCATCATTTATCATATACTGCCATGATGCTCTTGTCTGTTCGATACAAATGTCAAAAATTAACGCGATTGGCGATGCGTAGTGACAGCAAGCCAATAGAGAGTAGAGTCTTTGCCATCATGTGGTTTGCGCGCCAATTTCTGTACGTGCGTTAATGAAGCAGAAATAGTTTGGCTGAATATACTATTCGTTGCAACACTAATAAATATATTTGTTACTAGCTGTTACCCGCGACTTCGCCGGCAGAGGTTTTGCAAGCAAACCCCATTTATATTTAGTATTTCAACAACTATAGTAATTGTTATATAACACCTACCGCTGAGAATAATCAGAAGTTGAGAATTGCCGAGAATCAAACGAACTGTTTTCAATTTGATCAATTTTCTGGAACGTTTACAATCGTTCTATAATAAAACCGATACGCAATAACAAATCCAAATTTAAAACGGTTCGAACATTTGGTTAAAAATTCGAAATATATAAAAATATTTATAACAGTGTCTGAAATGTTATNAGTAATTGTTATATAACACCTACCGCTGAGAATAATCAGAAGTTGAGAATTGCCGAGAATCAAACGAACTGTTTTCAATTTGATCAATTTTCTGGAACGTTTACAATCGTTCTATAATAAAACCGATACGCAATAACAAATCCAAATTTAAAACGGTTCGAACATTTGGTTAAAAATTCGAAATATATAAAAATATTTATAACAGTGTCTGAAATGTTATCAATTTAATAGACCTAAGTACTCAATGAAGACTAGACGTAATTGAAAACGTAAAGTCGCATCTAAAATAAAACAGTAGAAGCCGTTCTTCCGGTTAAGCCTTAATGCTCTTTTTCTCTCTCCTCTGCGAGGGGATTTCGAAAAATTCCTTCTTAGTGTGAATTTGCATGATGTACCCTAAATGTGTACCAAATTCCACCCCTGTAGTTCAGCAATTTGCTCTGGACGATGATGAATCAGTAACTCAGTCAGTCAGTCAGTCAGTAAGGACAAGTAATTTTATATATTTAGGTTTATACAAAATTTTTATTTATTTATTTCGAATTAAATGGTATAAATATGTAATCCAACACCTTATTTTTCGCTGAGAGATTATTTTTAATTAAAACAAACGTTTTCGATTCATTNAAAAGCGCAGGAAATTTAGTATGAAATAATAAGCTCTATATAGTTAGGCAGACGATATTATTATTTAGTAATGATATTATGTTATTTATTTTGAATATTTGTATTATTTACAAGTATTATTTATTTTTATGTTATCGGTTTATTTGTATTTTTGAATATTTAAACGAGTAGTTCTATTTATGAAGTGTTCTATTTAGCCTGAGGATGATCCAATGAATGGATCGAAAACGTTTGTTTTAATTAAAAATAATCTCTCAGCGAAAAATAAGGTGTTGGATTACATATTTAATTGTTGTCTGCTGGGTATAGTTGTGGTTTATATTAAATGGTATACTTTTTAAGCAACAATACACATAAAAACTTCTGTGTAAAATTAAACTTCTCGTTCATACTTAATTTTAATTACACGAACGTATCCATATAAGAGAAAAGGATAGAGTAAATAAGTTGTCAGTTATTTTACTTAACGAACTTTCTTATATGTTATGTTAGATTTACTTACAAAAATTTGCTTTGTTTAAATAATAGTTGGGCTGCAATTTGAAAAAATTGTTGACTTATAAATTCCCATTGTTGTCAGTTTGGCTGTCTCCCTGTCCACTTAATCGCTGATTGAAGTTATATAGATGAAAGTCGAAACTAGATTTGGAAATCTTAGGAGCGGGAGATCCCGATTAACTATATAAGAACTTCCGATGAAAACCGAAAGTTACGTTATTTCTATTCAAAAATTTCCTCTGGAAATATGTTAGATATATGACCGGGCACAACTTCATTGTTTTCGGAAAAATATGACATACAGGAGCAATCCACTACTAATTTGAGGTGAAAAGCATATATTTTAAATTAAATTAAAAATTGCAGTTTGGCATTGTGACGATGTCACAATAAATAATTGCTCATTCTCACTTAAAATCTTCTTACAAGTATTAACATTAGATGTAGTTTACGTGTTAAGGTATTACAACTTGTTTTAGTTTGCTTTCAGTCCACAGGTGTTAGATAATTTTAAAATTATTCTCCAAAATATAAAATTTATAGAGAAAAACTTTCACTGTAATTTAATTCTGTGGACTTTATTCGATTAATTTAATTGATGTTTTTACTTAAATTTAATTATTGGTTACAAATTGTTTAATTTAATGTTTTCATTAATAATTCGTGAAAAAACAGATACTATACTGGTATTATTTTTTTATCAGATGTGAAAAGCCAACGTTTCCATATCCTCTTGAATTTTTTCAATTACGTATGAAAGGAGATATACAATTCCAGATTTTCCAAGTGAGGGCAAAGGTATTTTCTTTATTTTTTCATTTAACAGATATGTTTACACTTTCTTTTATATAAACTTGATCAGACGGCATTCAAAGAATAAAAGGAAAAAAAACAATTTTAAATCCTTTCTTTCTCGCTGTTTACACGAAACCTTATACTTACGACTGTTATGGGATAGATTATGTCCATTAATATGGACATAGTTTTGAGGATGAGCCACGATATATTTTGCTCAAACGATAAATGAAAACTACTTCAGTTTCAATTTAGGTCAGATTTTCGTGAAGTAATCTTTACGCCTCGAACTATCACATGTTTACGTCTGTCATCGTTATTAAGACTAGTATGACTTTTAAATGAAATTTGTACACAGTATAGACAAGTAAGTGTATATTGTAATGTAGTATAGGCTATGAAATTTACGTTTGATTTAAATTTCACTGACGTTGCGGTAACTATTCATTTTCATTTCAAAATCATCAATATAGAAATTTAGATTAACAAAGGATTCTGTAATTAATGTTTATAGAAACATTTCTTTATTAGAAGGAAAATGTATTTTAATTAAAGGTTGACTAGTTAAATGTTAAAATTTTATTTATTAATTGTACAATAAATATATTTAAATCAGTTTAGAATCTGATACATATAGAAATAAATACGCAAATTAAATTTAAATGTTATGGGGGCATTTTTATCTTTAATCTGTCAATAATACTTACAAACTATTAGTTAATTACATATATTCTGTCATAGCTATGCAAATATTCCTAAAAGATTCTGTCGATTTGAACTTAGTTCATGAAAAATACTTTTGATGTAATTTTTATTAAATATTTAGGTAGGATTTTAAGCGGTAAAATCGAAAAAAATTACCAAATAAATTAAATTATCCCATTGAGTAGATTGTCTCTACAAAAGAAAATACATTACAATAGTTATACGGGTAATAAATTTTATTCCGGATATCACCTGTACTAAAGATTTTGAAACGGGAGATCTGGTTCATTGTACCTATATAAATTTTAAAAAACGTGCTAATAGCGAGGTGTCATAAAACGCTATAGCTTCTCGCGATGTAAAGTCTTCAGAGCCATGCCACTTCGCTGGAAACATTTGACAATATTGTGAGATAGCCAGGGACGTAACAAAGTTATGCTACTTACGGGCACGCGATTGTGAGATCGGTTCTCTTACTTTTTATAGGAAAGCGTTAATCGCTAGTAGATCTGAACTGCGAAGTTCGTCAGGGCTGACACCAGTTTGTCAATTTATCGATCCGCGGACAAACACGCGTATGAGATCTTTGTAGATCTGATTCAGAGACATATTCAGAGACATATCTTATATAAAACAAACAAAAGTAAATTTAATGATTCAATAAGCAAAACTAATACAAATATCAAGGAACGAGGGATAAAATACGACAATTTACATACACGATATAGGCATGGACTTATTCTATACCCGATGCGCGATTGAGAGACAGAGCTCACAAAATCGTTATAAAACATACAACCTGTTTTAGTTGTCGTTCGTCTTCTTCTCTGTAGGCAAGGGACACCCTGGAGATAAAGTTCATTTACTTTTTTCCATGGGAGATCAATATGTGCACAAATTCAAGTATAATTTCTATGTGCTAACTCTGGAATTATTCTGTATGTGACTCGTCTAAGGACGTTGGTCATCAGGAGGAAAATGTATGGAGTTCGGACACTCTTTATGTCTGTCGATGAACTCCCCGAATTCTGTCAAATTTCCTCTATATCTGCTGATTTTTGACCAATTATCGGCTAGAAACTCTTTCATGAGAACGGATGAAAGGGGAATGAATGAGTGGTAAACATTTCCCATCTGAGCAGGATTTTAACCAGATAAGGGAAAGTCAGAGGATGTTCTAACTTCTGTGAAAGGAAGTAGCATCTGTTATCTGCCTTTTCCCACGTTTAAAACATTATTTTCTCACCAAAAATGAATTAATATTTGGTGGCAGTATTTAATATTATTAATAAATTCACTGGTTTAGACCCAGGGGCCTTACAGGTCTCACACTCCTCCTTTATCTTCAAAAATCACACTACATTTAAAGAAGGCGTGATTTTTTCATTGCATTACATAAATTCGAATTACTCTCTCTCTCTCTGAAAAATGACGTAACACATATAATAAAATCTTAAAGGTATACAATAATTCAAATCAAATTCAATATTAATATACATTGATATAATATGTTAAACAATTCATCAAAAGAATAATATTAAAATAAACAAAATAAATGCAGACGTCTTCGTCTTGAAACGGCAAAAATTAACTTAGTTCGCTATGTGTTGGAATGCACTCTTGCTTTCACTGAATATTTCTAAAAATAACTTGACTGAGGTGGGAAGTGCATTTTAAAATAATTTCCTTTAAGGAATTGTTCTCAAAAGTCATTAAGTTTCTATTGTTCTTTTTCACACATTGGAACGCATCTGGAACGTGTTTATGTCGAAAGTCTTTACTGAAACACTTCCGTTTGGTGACTTTTTGTATTTCCTTCAATAATATCATTGGTCCTTGAAGATCCTATGATGTCTTCTGCTTATCATGCAGCACCTTTTAAAAGTTTAACGTTCACTGTGCAGTTTAAAATGATAAAATGTGCTTTCTTCCTTCACTTGATATATTTTCTTCTCTTATAATATTTTATACAATATAACCACAAAAGTTCAGGTGGTTGAGTTCTTTAAAGGTTTTTTAAAATTCGTATGAGTGCAGTTCATTTTTCACCAAAATAATTTCACTTCAAAAGGCAGTATGTTAACAAATTACATGTCTCTATTAAAGTCTCTCTCTTATGACTATACTAATTCTTACATCTAGACTATTCCATAAAATATTATTGTTATTCTATCAGGGTTAACTCCCTTATCTTCAAATCGATCATTATCGTGAGGTATATTTTATTTAACCTTAGCTTATTATTTTATTACTGCCATCTTAAATGTAATAGGTTAATTATTAAGGTTATTGAGTTATTCTCGACAGTCGGAAGTTGGTAAGACTTAAGGTCAAGATAATAATACAACCTTACTATTTCTAAATACAGATATCTATTTTCTTTCTGTCGATAATTATTTTAATTACATTTAGAATAACATAAGTATATTCAAAATATCATTAACGAACATGTTATGCATTGTTTTTTTATTCTACTCGACTTTATATTCTTAAATAAATTCGATGCTAATTTGATAACATAATAATGTATATAGGAAGTATTACAATGTATATAACTTAACTCTCTTCTTTTCAGAAATGACTTACTTCCCTTTTTATTTTATCTATATGTATACGAATCAAATCCTTGTCATTATCTCTATATGGAATTACCGGATCCTTGTCTCTATTTCCGACTAACAATTCGACGTATCGAAAACCGATCTAAATTTAATCTTTGTATTATTTAAAAGATGAAGTATTTCTTTAAAGATATTATCCTGCGTATTTTCATTATCTATCTCTTTAACCATATTTAAATCAGAGTAACAGATATCTTCTCTACTACCGCTATTGTCTATCTTTCTCTCACGAGTATTATTTGTCTTTGGTGGGGAATTTCTTAGAATTTTCTTTTCTTTCTTATTTCCCTTATATGCTCTTTGCTTATATTTATTTGCATTTTCATTTTCCCTAAACTGTGGTTGTCTAGCAGCTTCAATACCTTTTGATTTTATGGGAATTGATCTCTCCGTATTATTATCATACCCTTTTCTTTTTCTATGTATGTTTTTCTTAATTTTTCTATCATTTTCCTCATAAGTATTTTCCGAATAGCGTTTCCGCTCGGGATATGCTTTTATGCTTCTTATATAGTTCTCTCTATAGTAATCCCCTCTGTGATTCGTATTATAATTGTATCTCTTAGGTTCTCGCTTATAGTATGATACGGGTACGGCTGAACAAAAATGAAGGCTCTTGCCATCAGGCAAAATTAATCTATGTTCTTTATTGTCTATTTTGATATTTTTTCTCTCTAGTATATCTTTACCTATGGTACCATCGCACGGGTATATGTCTTCTGAAATCACTATTCTACAAGTAGCTCTAAATTTATTTCCTCTTAGCTTAAACTCGGGGGTGGCGTTTCCTATACCCACTACTGTTTTTCTGGATGAATTATCTATCATTACCGGCAGTTTATTGTAAAAAGGCTTTATTCGCTTTATTCTATCTATAATGCGCTTATATATTAACGAAGTTTCTGCTTCTTCATCAATTTTTAATTTAGTGGGTAAGTTATTTACATAAACCATTACTATAGGTCTATCATCTGTCTTAACATTAGATAATGTACCTTCCCACATATATGTTTCTCTATAACTGCGTGGTTGCGAACGGAAATGCTTATCTCTAAATCGATCTCGCTTTTTCATGTCCGCGTCTTTACGGAAGTGAGCTTCTCTTCCGAGATTATCATTATATTTATTTCGCTCTTTTTCTTGTAAACTCTTAAATTGTTCTACCAAGTATTCTATTTTCTCTTGTATTTCTTGTAAATCGCCGTGCTGTATATTCCCTGATACATCTTCCTTTACTACGCGAATTATATCACTATGATTGCGTCCTTTTGTAAGGGCTTCAATCTCCTCTTCCTTAATCGCTATTTCTAAAGCTTGATCGAACGATTCGGGCTCTCGGAACATGACTCTTTGTCTAATTTTAATATCTATCCCGTTCATAAATTGAACCCTTAAACGTTTGTCTAATTCCTTAGCTTTTATTTTCTTAATTATATCTACTTCTGCAGCATTGGCTCCCTCATGTGTAATTTCAACTTCTTCCGACAAGGCTTGGAGTCGCACAGCGAACATTTGTACGTCCTCATCTCTGGCTTGGACACATGCGTAGAACTTCTGGATTCTGTAAGTGTAGGGAATCTTTTCGAAACGCTCTATCATTAACCTTTTGAATTCCTCAAAATCCTCCACGTCCTTAATGCGTCGATCTTTTCGCACAAATTCCCTGGAATGCCTGTC